CCAGAAGTTGCATTTCTCAATGCATCACTTGTAGGCATAGTTTTACCTGTTCCATAAATGCTTCAAAACTTTCCTTGCTCTATAAACTAATCTATGTGAACAACTCCTACAGATCCCAGATGTTTTCCCTCTTCTAGCAGCTGCACATAAGACTCTTATATCCAAATCAAGGGAATCATTGACAACACGTACGCTGCATTCTGAGCTTGTTTACAACTACTCTGGCTCTAAGCATGTATGAATATATTCTATATTTCTACTACTATTTTTTCCTTATGCTTTTTCATGCACGGATCCATTCATTGCTGGGATTTATACTTTCCAGATCTCGGAATCTTTGAAAAGATGTGGCATCTTGGACAACTCGCATGACATCCTCGTGGCTCGTTTTGGTGCTTCTACTGATGAGGTTAGACCATCGGGTCATTTGGTGCTGTTTTGCAGAGTTCCGTGATTATTGATTTTGAACTTGTTTAATGGGGGAAGTTACATGTACATTATTTACATGACTAGATGATGGCTGTAGAGAAACTTATCAAAGGTAAGGAGATCGATTTAGATGAATTGGAAGAGCGGGCAAATCAAACCCAGATACAAAAGGTTTGTGGGTCTTCTCTCTCTCTCACACACACATACACACAACGACAATACTCCAGTAGGCTATTATTAGTTCTCAACTAACTTATGCTACTGTTACTGTTATTTCTTAAATTGATGAATTCATCTACTTCAGCACTACAAAATATCTAACGTGGAACTAGGGATATCATCAATTGCTGATGCTATAGTTTGCCGGATTGCTGCCCGTGATGCTCTGTAAGGGGGAGAAAGTTAGTGGATTCTATTTTATCTTGTAATTTTCGCATATTAATTTCTCTCGTCCAGAACTTTCCTCTGTTTAGGTTGAGGTAGAAGCCATAGTTGATATTTAAAATTCTCAATTATGTATTTTTTTCTAGAAAGTAAAAAAGGTGCTACACAAGAACTTTCCAAAGGGTTGTTCATCCTAGTATCACTCTCAACATTATGTAATTTGTTCCGAGGAAATCTAGTTGAATCATTTCTAGTAGTGTCTTAGAATTTATGCATGAGTGAAAATTGTTGGCCTTCCCTCTAATTTCATTTTAATTGTTTTTGAGAGGTTCTCTTTTGATATGGGTACAACAACTAGGTTCCACAAGAAGATTTGATCCAAGATTTCTAGTATGTCCCTTCAAAATGAGATGTTTCCTAAGGGGTCTAGTTGCCTTCATTTTCACATCTTAGGGGGTAAAGTTTTATGTTATCACCACCAAGGTAGATCAACCCATTGGGAGCTGCGAGCAGAGGGCTGTTTTTTGTTTTTGTTTTTGCTCGGAAAAGGTTAAGTACAGAGTAAAGGAACAAGAGAAACAAAATTAAGCTAGCTAATTCCTTTACTAAGTGGTTGTCTCGTTGAGCATTGCTTCACTCACTAAGTTTGGAAGTTGGTGATTGGGAAGAACACCCGTGTACTTCAGGGCTAATTACCATCTTGCGACCTCATGTGCTACTGTATTTGTATCTCTGTTAGCACGTATCAAGTTTCAATCAGGATGATTCCTGAGAATTTGCTTAAGGTATTGGATTATTTAATCATGACTAAGTGAACCACAGTTTGGGAGATGCAGATACAGAGGGTTGTTAAATGATTCAAGTTTGGCTTGGTTTACCTTTTTCAAGTTCGATTAATCTTTTTTTAAATATTGAATTTAATTAAATTTTATCGTATTATAAATGAGTTGAATTTTAGTTGTGTGTAGTTGGGTTGACATAGGTTCTTATTTACAAATATTTTTAATTTTATTATCAAATAATTCTTATTCGAAAGATGAACGAATAAAGTTTGTCCCTAATAGTTGCAGGCCATATTTATATATCTTTCTCCAAAATAGACTTTTGGGATATGTGAACTTTACAAGTTTTTATTTGATGGCTAATTACATATTTTATAGTTTTTTTTTTTTTTAGCTGGGAAATGAATTTATTTAGGAATGATTATTGACTTCTAAGGGTAAAGTGTTTGTTCAGAAATTGACCTTGATTTCGGTTTAGATCCGACTCAAATTTCTTTAAACTTCTTATTAAATTGGATATGAAAAAATCTAATCTCGAGAATTGAAGTGGGTTTAAGTTTGACTTTAGTCTTTCATAATCAAATTAAATTTGAATATATTCAAACTTGATAAATTAGATTCCATCATCTCTTTGAACTTAAATTTATGCCTAGGAATGCATGAATCGAATTTTCTAAAAAACGTGTGTTGAGCTAGCGGACATCGCAACTAACAAAGATTCCCATGACATGATGGTTGAACCCAGTAGTAATTAACAGTTCAAAACATGTGTTACAATTACTAAAAATAGTGGGTTCTGAGCTGTTAATTATTTTTTAACAGCTCAGAACCCACTATTTTTAGTAATTGTAACACATGTTTTGAACTGTTAATTACTACTGGGTTCAACCATCATGTCATGGGAATCTTTGTTAGTTGCGATGTCCGCTAGCTCAACACACGTTTTTTAGAAAATTCGATTCATGCATTCCTAGGCATAAATTTAAGTTCAAAGAGATGATGGAATCTAATTTATCAAGTTTGAATATATTCAAATTTAATTTGATTATGAAAGACTAAAGTCAAACTTAAACCCACTTCAATTCTCGAGATTAGATTTTTTCATATCCAATTTAATAAGAAGTTTAAAGAAATTTGAGTCGGATCTAAACCGAAATCAAGGTCAATTTCTGAACAAACACTTTACCCTTAGAAGTCAATAATCATTCCTAAATAAATTCATTTCCCAGCTAAAAAAAAAAAAACTATAAAATATGTAATTAGCCATCAAATAAAAACTTGTAAAGTTCACATATCCCAAAAGTCTATTTTGGAGAAAGATATATAAATATGGCCTGCAACTATTAGGGACAAACTTTATTCGTTCATCTTTCGAATAAGAATTATTTGATAATAAAATTAAAAATATTTGTAAATAAGAACCTATGTCAACCCAACTACACACAACTAAAATTCAACTCATTTATAATACGATAAAATTTAATTAAATTCAATATTTAAAAAAAAGATTAATCGAACTTGAAAAAGGTAAACCAAGCCAAACTTGAATCATTTAACAACCCTCTGTATCTGCATCTCCCAAACTGTGGTTCACTTAGTCATGATTAAATAATCCAATACCTTAAGCAAATTCTCAGGAATCATCCTGATTGAAACTTGATACGTGCTAACAGAGATACAAATACAGTAGCACATGAGGTCGCAAGATGGTAATTAGCCCTGAAGTACACGGGTGTTCTTCCCAATCACCAACTTCCAAACTTAGTGAGTGAAGCAATGCTCAACGAGACAACCACTTAGTAAAGGAATTAGCTAGCTTAATTTTGTTTCTCTTGTTCCTTTACTCTGTACTTAACCTTTTCCGAGCAAAAACAAAAACAAAAAACAGCCCTCTGCTCGCAGCTCCCAATGGGTTGATCTACCTTGGTGGTGATAACATAAAACTTTACCCCCTAAGATGTGAAAATGAAGGCAACTAGACCCCTTAGGAAACATCTCATTTTGAAGGGACATACTAGAAATCTTGGATCAAATCTTCTTGTGGAACCTAGTTGTTGTACCCATATCAAAAGAGAACCTCTCAAAAACAATTAAAATGAAATTAGAGGGAAGGCCAACAATTTTCACTCATGCATAAATTCTAAGACACTACTAGAAATGATTCAACTAGATTTCCTCGGAACAAATTACATAATGTTGAGAGTGATACTAGGATGAACAACCCTTTGGAAAGTTCTTGTGTAGCACCTTTTTTACTTTCTAGAAAAAAATACATAATTGAGAATTTTAAATATCAACTATGGCTTCTACCTCAACCTAAACAGAGGAAAGTTCTGGACGAGAGAAATTAATATGCGAAAATTACAAGATAAAATAGAATCCACTAACTTTCTCCCCCTTACAGAGCATCACGGGCAGCAATCCGGCAAACTATAGCATCAGCAATTGATGATATCCCTAGTTCCACGTTAGATATTTTGTAGTGCTGAAGTAGATGAATTCATCAATTTAAGAAATAACAGTAACAGTAGCATAAGTTAGTTGAGAACTAATAATAGCCTACTGGAGTATTGTCGTTGTGTGTATGTGTGTGTGAGAGAGAGAGAAGACCCACAAACCTTTTGTATCTGGGTTTGATTTGCCCGCTCTTCCAATTCATCTAAATCGATCTCCTTACCTTTGATAAGTTTCTCTACAGCCATCATCTAGTCATGTAAATAATGTACATGTAACTTCCCCCATTAAACAAGTTCAAAATCAATAATCACGGAACTCTGCAAAACAGCACCAAATGACCCGATGGTCTAACCTCATCAGTAGAAGCACCAAAACGAGCCACGAGGATGTCATGCGAGTTGTCCAAGATGCCACATCTTTTCAAAGATTCCGAGATCTGGAAAGTATAAATCCCAGCAATGAATGGATCCGTGCATGAAAAAGCATAAGGAAAAAATAGTAGTAGAAATATAGAATATATTCATACATGCTTAGAGCCAGAGTAGTTGTAAACAAGCTCAGAATGCAGCGTACGTGTTGTCAATGATTCCCTTGATTTGGATATAAGAGTCTTATGTGCAGCTGCTAGAAGAGGGAAAACATCTGGGATCTGTAGGAGTTGTTCACATAGATTAGTTTATAGAGCAAGGAAAGTTTTGAAGCATTTATGGAACAGGTAAAACTATGCCTACAAGTGATGCATTGAGAAA